GCGTCTTTTAGTAATTCAACCAGCAATTTTTTATTTATTAAAGTATAACAAATATTAAGTAATGTTATAAATATAAATATAGAGCGAGTTTTTCACCAAACCGAGGCTATTTTCATATATAAATATAATAATTATACATTTTTAATAAAAAAAACAACATCAAAAGTTTGTGGAATTATATCTATTTACAGATCCAATAAACATGATTTATTCCCTATTTCAAAGTCAAAGAATTTATTCCATAGGTAAAATAATTTTACACTTGAAAACGTCACATTTAAGCTACTGCTCGTTCACTACACTGACCTCCCTGAGAAGAACGAGCAAGAAACTCTAAGGATTGCTCTTTTCAAATAAACTTAAATGCTATGGAATATACTTTGAATCAAATTTGTGTGGATTCTGGAGCCGTGTCGTCTTTCCATACATCTTTATCTAACACGTAGTCTTCAATTTTGTATATAATTTTTCATATTACTGATTTGCTACCCTTACAGGAGGAATATTTACTTCAAATTTAAATGGAACCAGTACCTACCCTCTTTCTGACAAAAAATTAATCATCAAAATCGGTTCGGCCGGAGTAATCGGGTAAGATACAGACAAAAAAATACAGTCGAATTGAGCACTCCATTTTTTCAAGTCGGTCAAAAATTGCCCCGGTTTGGCGAAAAACTCGCTTATTTAAGTCCAGCCGGATTGAGGGAATTTTTCTTCGTGTCTGTTCGAGCTTTGCATTAATGCTAACAACAAACTATGAAATGGAGTATTAAAAAAAAGTGAATATTATGGGTGTAAACATTATGATATTTAATAAAATAAATAAAGTGACATTTTAAATCTAAAAAAATATGATAAGGCTAAAGCTGTTTATTTTCATGATAATATGTCACGGGACGAACAAGTCATGCACCTGCTAAGCGACACGCCTGTCCATAGCAGTTGCAAAGCCTTCAAATTGCAAAAATCTGAGGGGCACTGCCACCCCGTCTGTCACCCTGGGACATAAGTTGACAAGTACCATGTGCCTGTAATTACTACCTCCGTGGCCGAACGATTACCATGCTGGACTACCACGCAGAGATCTTGGATTCAATTCTCGGGTCGGGAGAAATATTTGTATGGCCTACATTTATTTTTCTTTTTCTTACTTTAAAAAAAGGAGGTGGTTCTCAATTTGACTGAATGTTTTTTTTTGTATGTATGTTACGCGATAACTCCAGCATTTGTGCACCGATTTTGAGGATTCTTTTTTGTTGTAAGGGGGGTGCCCCAGAAGTGGTCCCTTTTAAATTGGAAGACTATCCATCTAATAAGATTATTTTTACTATTATGAATTTTATCAAAATTTTGTTTGCTTTAAATAACTTAGTAGACCAAACCAAATGGAAGGCAATTTAAAAAGAGGTGGAAAGATAAAATGTCGAGTCGTTATCAGACCATGAGGTTTAATGCTTGTTTATTGAATGGCGACTCTCCCGAGTTACTCTGCGGATCACAATGTCAGCGCAGTCAACTTTATGGACTCAACGTTCTTTGCGCCGAAACGCCCATTGAGAGTATTATAGTAACTTCTCACGTAAGCGCGTATACTTTATGGTAAAAGTAAGTAAGCTGTAATACCCTAATTAGGAGCAATGTTCGCCTACTGACTGAAAATGTTTTTGAATCATATGCACTTAAAAATTATTACAATTCTATGTATATACTCGATGGTAAGCAGTTAATTGCTACATATTATAACAAAACTAGCTGGTGTTTACGACTTCGTTTGCGTCTGCTTCCACTACTATATATACCAATATTCATAGTTTTATTGGTACTCCATACAAACTTTTATCCCCTATTTCAAGGTCTTCAAGATTTTTTTTTTATATGACGTGACGAACAAGACGTTGGCCTGATGGTAAGCCACACGCTTGTCCATAACAGTTGCAAAGCCACTCGGCGCTTTAAAACACAAAAATCTGAGAGTCAATCCCACTGCGCCCGCCACCCTGAAACTTAGGTTGATAAGTCTCATGTGCCTGTAATTTCACCAGCAACCGTATCCTTCTAAGCCGGAACGCAGTAATGCTTGGTGGAAGAAATAAGTAAGGTGGCAGTACTGGACGAACTTTTTCACAAGGAGTTTTACAGCTACTAAAAGTAGTCATTTACACTATAATATCCTTTTTTAATTAGGTATTTATGCAGTTCAGTTGTAATTTTTTTAAATGTAAGATTTTATTTCATATTTAAATTGGTAGTGTATTATAAACTCTTTGACAAGCAGCTCTACTGCTACTTATTGATATAAATCGTAATAAAAATGTTAGACAGATAAGAATTAAAGACGTTTAAGGAATTATAGGACACAATTACGCTTTATTAGGGACGTAGGAGATCAAACTCTCGTTGATTGTATATACGCGCAGGCGAAATATTAATATATAAGGCTTTTTTTATAGACTTATAAAATGGTGAGAATCTGTCAAACCGAGGTACGTACTTTGTGAGTCGCAATAACAAGGCAGCACGTTTTACTAAATCAGTATTACTTGTTTTATATGAAAAATAAGTTGCGCGTTTGACCTCCGTCTCATCTGATGGAATATGATGCACACCTAAATAATGCCTATTCACTCTCGCTTTGAAAAGGTCCAAGTTATAGCGTTCGGGAACAAGTCCGCAGGCAGGAATTTCACTACCTAGTCACTCATCATATAAATATGCAAGCGAAACGCTTTTTACGAATCCTGGGAATATCCACAACAAAGGGGTGGAACCCCAGCCCACGTCTAGTCCCCTGATTATGGAAAGGGGAACGCGGAAATATTACTTTTTCACTATTATTTCGCAGCATGACGCAACTTTTCTAGAAAAATCTATTTTTATTGTCACTAAGCGTATGCTTAGCGTATGCTTAGGGATTGCGGAATAGTTATGTACTAATAAGCAAGTCCCTAACCCGCATTGGGCCAGCGTGGCGGACTATGGCCTAAACCCTCGTCTGAAAGGAGACCCGTCCCCAGCAGTGGGACATATAATTCAGTTGATGACGATGAAGCATACCAAGTACGATTCACGGCAGAACCAATAAAAAAGGAAATAACTAAATTAGTTTTGGTGTATTGCAGTGAAGCTGTGTTAGCCTAATGGTTTGACCTACTGCTTCTCAAGCAGAGGCCGAGGGTTCGAATCTGGGCAAAATTTATATTTGAAATTTACCATGAGCTTTTCGGTGAAGGAAAACGTCGTGTAAAACCTGCACGTCGAAGAAGGTTCACAACCCTCAGAAAACGTGGAACGTCCCCAACCCGCATTGGCCCAGCGCGGCCTAAGCCCTTGGCTCAGAGGAGATCCATGTGCAGCAGTGGGACGTATAAATGGACTGATGTTTGCATAGTGCCTAATTTGAGACCAGGTAATTGGTGAGATTTTCTGGTAAATTATTATTATAACATTGGCAACGAGAGGATACGATTTCGGTCATAACGAGAAATCACAAGTAAGGGTTTAATGCTTATTTATTGAATGGAGACATCTTAAGATGCTGCGCGGATCACAGTGTCAGCACAAGAAACTTTATGGGATCGTTGTTCGTTTCACTAAGCCTTAATGGTCTTCGAAAGAATTGCTAACATTTACCTGTACTACCGTAACCTAACTTAATGAAAGCGATGACGTCAGTGTATTAAAATGTGAGACAAATGTAACGATTTTCACTGAACGTAGATACGTTCAGAGAAAATAATTGTGCTATGCAACATTATGTTATACGAGAATGAGATCATTCTCGTATAGCATAATGTTGTTGGTGCTATAGCTATACTTTTTTGTATTTGTGTTATTTTCAATGAACTCGAAGTCTAATAAAAAATAAAAACACGGCAAAAATAGTCAATTTTTTTATAACAATTTTTTTTTCGACGTATAAGGTATATATATTTCGACTACCTTCTGTAGGAAATGAAGAAGAGCTCAAGCTATTTTTTTGAATTTTTAAGGTGTCAGATTGTTTAAAATAATGACTAGTAGATCAAAGACAAGCCAGCCTCTCATTTAAGTTAAAACGTAAAAGTTAAATAAATAGAGCGTATTTTGCCATGACCGTTCGGTCTCTGAACAAGTGCACACGGGCGCTCCGTGGCGGCCACGCGGTCTCTGCGCGCCCGTAGCGGTTGCATCACTTTCTGTATTTATTTATTTACTTGTCTACACAGATATCATAAACGCTCCACGATATGTTCAAAAACCGCAAATTACGACCAGCAAAAAGATAAACTGTTTTGCTGGAACCAATTTCTAATGTGAAAATGTTATGATTGCTTCATTATTAAAATCAAATACTATTTTATTATTACATTCAAATTTCGAACATCTCTGAAAAACAAAACAATTTGATTCGACCTCAATTCTAATATCAGTCGAGATGAAGTTTTATTCGAAATGAAATGTCAGTAGCAAACAATTTTGACAAATTTCACACGTTACTTGATATCGAACATCGAGTATATAATCAGAAATAGAGATGAAATGTTATTTAATTTGTTTGAAAACTATTCTGTCATATTATTACTGTGACAAATGCGCTCCGATTGGCTAGCCCGAAACAATTGACGGGTGTCGTCAATGGGTGATTTGCATTGTTAGAGATATTATCTTTATCACAATAAATACATCATATTTTTTTTAAATATACGGAGACGTACACACAGGTCAGTAGTTGGCCTGTCTACATTTCAGTGCAAACGAGAGTTCATATTTATAAGAGCTGTATCGCTAATGTGTTACCAGGAATATATGGCCCTTATTTCGTCTCTATTTCTGGTTATATACTCGATGACAGATACATAATTATTATTACAGAAACAATATGAATTTCACTATCAAATATACCTAAAAAGTCGCAAGGTTGAAGCCAAATTTCCAATGTCGTGTTTTCGTGTCCGTCAAGATTTCCTCTAGTTACGTAATTCAGCCAATGGACGTAAGAAGCATGTATGTATGTCACTTACCTTCAAAAACAGTCAGGGTAGCAACAGCAGTCACAGCATCTCCAACTCCATTCTCAGCCACACATTCATACGTGGCGTCGTCTCGCTGCGCACGCACAGGTTCGATGCGCAGTACGGCGCCGTTCGCACCAGGGCCTGCTGCTGAGTCCATGCCAGATACTTGATACCGGGATTGCATGCCTGAGGAAAGGGAAATGTTTGTTATAGCTGCTGTTGGTAGTAATAAACATTTAGGATACAATTCTAAGACTGCAACACGTCATACGGACCTTTCGGGGGACTCTGAAGACGTTTGTCATAAAACACGATAGTTCTACCATGAGTTGTATAGATTTTTTAATAATATCAAGTGATGGGACTAGCAAGTCGCGTACCTGATGGTTAGCTACACGCTTGTCCATAACAGTTGTAGTGCCACTCAGAGCTTTAAATCACAAAGATCTTAGGGGCCACTGCGAGTGACATCCTGAGACATAAGTTGACAAATCTCATGTGCCTGTAATTTCACCAGCACTCTTACACTTCAAAACCAGAACACACTAATGTTGACATTACTGCTTGGCGGCAGGAATAGGTAAGGTGGCAGTACTTCTCTGGACGAACTCTTTCACAAGGAGCCTACTGCTACTAAAGTTGGATAGTCTGCAGACTGTCTTGTTTGTAGCATCAAATTAAGGTTACCATTATTATTACAATGCCTTCGGATTTTCATAGTATAAGAAATTTCATGTAAATAATATTTAGTTATGCTAAAAAAGGCTAAAAAGTCCTTTGGATTAATGTTCTGATTCTTTTGCAAATCATCTAGCAATTTACATTTTACCCGTCCAAGATAATAGTGCAAAAAAAAAACAACAATAAATGTGCATCTCGCGTGACTCTTACTAACTAGGGGATAAAGTTTAAATTGCATTGTAACAATTGTATGCGCTTGAAGCTAAAGTTACGTAGTTAGACGTACCGAACTGGAAAGTATGCCCTAGGGGAGTAAGCATTGTTTTAGTTTCAATTGAAATAGAGAATAGAAAATGTTATAGAAAATCTTGGTTCTCGCTGCTTTTCACTGACGGCATGCATTTTTATTTTTTACGAGGAAGGAGGAGGTTTTCTGGAAAGGGTTACCTGACGTTCCTCTTACTTTGGATAAGGATAAAATTAGATATCTACACTCCGCAAAAGCGTCTAGGTAGTAAGCACGTTTTTGCTAATTATTGAAAATCATGGAGTTTTGCTGGTCAATTTTATAATTTGAATTTTAAAATGGAATTGAACAACAAAATCCAGTGGTATCGAGTTCTTAGGTTTTCGCGATTGTTACACATAGGAAATGAAACTATTTACCGTGACCATGGGACCTGTAAAGGACCCGAAACGTCGGTCTGTTTGAAAAAACAAATGTACGCGATTAAAATCCAGTGGTGTTACAAAAATTCTTTAAAAAGCCTGAACACACACATAGACAACCACAAATTACACCCAAACTCACGAGAGAAATAAATGTAGGCCATACAAATATTTCTCCCGGCCCGGGAATCGAACCTGGGACCTCTGCGTGGCAGTTCGGCGTGGTAACCGTTCGGCCACGGAGGCAGTTTGTGACTAGTGTGACGGTTTTGCTAATTTAATTATAAAATTATTACGTTTTTACATTAAATGTATCGTTAACATGCAATTTGTAGTGAGAATTTCGTGTTTTCAAATATCAATTTCTTGACTTTACGGAGTACAATGTTTTGTCTTTTTTTATAATATCTAATGACGGGACGAAAACGTCGTGCGCCTGATGATGGTAAGCTACAGTCTGTCCATAACAGTTGCACCGACTCAGAGCTGTGAATCGCAAAGATCTTATAGACGCTGCCACTGCGCTCGTCACCCAGAGACATAAGTCGATAAGTCCATGTGCCTATAATTTCACCAGCACCCTTAACTCTTCAAAACGGGAACACAGTGCTGACATTACTGCTTGGCGGCAGAAACACTAAATAAGGATGGCAAAAGCTGCCCCAATAACGACGAAGAGCCGTTCATGGACTTTGCGAGTATTTTTGCGTTTTAGTTTATGCCTAGTTAGTTATCTATATATTTTTGTATATTTTTAGAAGTCGGGAATAAAAAAGATGTAGAACAATGTATTTTAGAATACTAGCAAGAACACAACGCAATTGATTCAGTTCGATGATAGATTAGGTAATGTTCTTGTACGAACGTTTTATTTTAAGCGTGATTGTTTACTTATCTAAAGTATTGGTTATTTTATATTACACACATAAAACATTAAAGCAATAAAATACCTTATCAAATAATCAATTAAACAGTAATTAATGGCGTAAAAAAATAAAACACGTGAGAAAAATTTAAATGAGTGATAAGAAAGTTATCAAAAGATCGTTTTGACAAGAGGGCTCTTGCCAATGTCAATATCACATTGATATTGAGAACAGTGTGACCATTTGTTGCAAATTTCTGCCATTTGGGCAGATTTAATTTTTATTCATTTTCATTGCTGTTCTCCAGCAATGAAAATGTAAGTAAATTTATATTAAAAGAAAGTTATATTAAATGTGGCAAAGTTTGGCAAATTTAGGAATATTCGGGAAGTTCTTTATTATTTTTGTGAATAAACTGAAAACTTGTTGTTTTCTGTTACTACGAAAAAAAATCTGAAGCGAAATACAGGACAATGTTATAAACATAACCTATATCAACTTTATAACCCCAGCTTCTACAGGCTGTACTCAATTAGTGGATGTCGCCATCATTCTTTGTACCTATATTGTTTGTTGTTTATGTTATTCAAGATACATCACAATAAAACCTCCGTATTTCTTTTATGATAACAAGTGGCGGGGAAAAACTAGTCACAACGATCTGAAGACCATTGCCACTGCGCCCATTACCCTGCGACATAAATTGACAAGTCCCAGGTGCCTGTAATTTCACCAACACTCTTCAAAACTTCTACTTCTGCGCAGCAGAAATAAGTAAGGTGGCTGTACTTCCCTAACGAACTCTTCAACAAGGAGGTCTAGAGCTACTAAAATACATGCACAGATAAAGACTTCCAATTTCCCACTTTTTGCGTCTGGGGTCAATGAAAATTACCAGGCTGACAGAAAATGACAGAAAACTGCACGTAAGTTGCTATTCCTGTAAGTTAAGCATACGCAACGAACCGTGAAAAAGATACAAATATAATTAGTGCGCGGTGCCATGTTCAAAATATAAACAATAAAACAAACATGAAAGAGATACAAAACAAATTTACGAACAAGATGAACGATGTTGTGTGTTCATGGTGTGATGTATGTTTAAGGATTTATGTTAAAATTTCAAATATGTACATTGAACATTGAAATGCTAAGTCTCTTAAAGAAATTTTGGTCTATCCCCTTGTATGCGGGATGGTAGAGGACGACACAGCTAAATCGCCACTCGTGGTAAGTGCCAGGGAAATGTATTTCACAACAAGTGAGAATAATCGTTGTCTTTCTACCAGCAGTTTTAAAAAGATAATGGTTTTTGCCGGTTTGGTAGTTTGTGCTCGTGGTTGGTAGTTTTTATTGCGGTGATTTTATGTGTTCTCTTTTCTCGCCTTTTGTTCGAGGGGTGTAAAACATTTTGAAGAAAGAGAAAAGAAAAAAGAAGCTAGTTCATTTTATATAGTTATTTCAAAGATTTTGGGATGGTTTTCAACCGTATCCCGGTAAATTATTCATGGACAGTCGTTGAAAATTAATGACCAGATATTATTGATCATAACGTAACGTTAACGTGAATTAATAAGTTATATCATGTGCATAGAAATTAATAATCAAAATAAAACTTAACGTAAACGTTAATTGATGCATATTACTGATATCTTCAGTGTTGCAGTCCCTGTTGTGGTCAAAAATATTAGTTAATCAATTTTCAACAACAGTGCAAGGAAAATTGCGTTTCAAGCACCGGATTTCAACGCAGGCTCTGTATATAACATTTCCAGCAAAGATTAATAAGGTACTGTCAGACGTGGATATACAACAAAAGCAAATATTAAAGCTATTAAGCAGATATATGTGTTATTTATTACACCCGAACGCTCATATATCCGTAAAGATACCGCCATAATTTATTATCATTATTATTGTTCTAGAAAACAAGTATTTGCCGTATCTCTATGGTAAAATCTTTATTATATGTGTTTAGATTGTCTGTGTTCATACAATGTTTCATGCCTGTAATATTTTGCAGGTATTATATTCGTTTTATATGGACATTTCGCAAATAAATGCAGCAATACAGTATATATTCTGCTATTAGAATATATACTGCATTGCTGCTTTTATTTATAGGAGAGCTCCTTCTGAAAGGTTTCGTTCTAGGAAGTATGACAATGTCCGACAGAGAACACAGGCGGAGACTGAAAAATTGAATAGTCCCTTTCATCGCTCATAGCTTATAAGCTAATTTATTAGTACATAACATCATGTGATTTTGTATGTTTACGTGTGTATGTGTTTGATGAATAAAGTCCTATTTAATCTAATCTAATCTAACTTAATTTAATTTATTGCCACTTTTACCTATACCCGCCGCCAAGCAGTAAATAACTGTGTGTACCGGGTTTGAAGGGTTTTATATTTATTTATATTCATTTATTTTTTTGTAATAATATATGACGTAATGTATGACTATTCGATACTTTGGGGAAGAAAGGGCGTAAAAATAATTTTTAACAAAAATAAGTTGTTTATGTAGTTGGGTTCAATTTTCATGCTCCTGTCTGTCTTCTCAAAATTTTGTTATTTGTAAACGCACGTTTACGTAAACGTTTAGGCGAGAGATTAAGACTCGTTCGTTTAGCGATCGCTTTTTATAGTCAAAGGGTCCTTTGAAAAATATTTACTAAAGAAATATTTTTAACGTCGCAAAACCGTTATCGGCTCTAGGAAATAAGATGGCTCAGGCTCTACGTACCCTTCAATATGATCCAATAACTCGAAATGTGGTTTGCTGTAGAAATAGGCGAGCCGGTAGAACCAGAGTGCGTTCTACACAGCCAAATGACTCTATTACCAATAAAATTTAATAACAAAATCGTGGCATTACATGTAATTGTTTACTTGATACTTTGTTTAAAAAAAAAATCTAAATCAAACTTTAATTTCTCACCATTTTAGCATTGTCGTTGAATTTAC